TCAAAAAAAAAAATATATATATATATATTTTTTTTTTAATTTCTTTTTTTTCTTTTCTTGGTATGGGGATTGAATCCAGGACCTTACACTTGTGAGGCAGGTACGGTGCTGCTGAGCTAAATCTTCAACCCCTAAAATTTCATTTTTTATAACTAAAAATTTTCATGGGGAATTTGACATCATTGCCCCGGCTTGGACTCAGAGCCCTGTCTCCTGTGCGGCCTCCACTGGAGCCGTGCCATTTCCAGTGGGCACCACTGATTGGCTCAGACACAGTGGCAGGAGGGTAGTCACGCGGGGGGCCGCTGAGCACGCCCCCCCGCTATTAGATCCCCTGACTGACCCTGTTCTAGGATGCACTCTGCAGAGGCGTGGCGGGCTATAAAGGGTGGTGATTGATCCTATTATGTTTCTGATTGTATCGATAGGGATAAAGGATAGGGATTGATTTGATGAGTTGTTTGCTCAATTATGAAAATAAGAATGTCTATAAATCATTAGAGAATCAAAGGCTGGGACTCAACGATATCAGGAAGATTTAATGACCCAGAGATTGAATCAAGGTCAACCCAACAGCAAAAATAAAGATGAGAAAACACTTAAGCAAGCCACAAAGACAGACTTCCAGTCCACCAATGGCAAATAGTAGGGCAAAGGAGGATGAAAAATCAAATAGTGAACCAGGACACTCAGAACTCACAGCACATAAAGTAAAAAAACTGATCAATCAAGGTCTAGAAAAATTCAAAACAGAAATTATTTCCCAGTTAACCATAAACATGGTGAGCAAAATGAAAGATATGATTCGAGAATCCAGAACAGAAACTGGCAAAAAAATAGATGGGCTTGGGAACATAACAGAAACCACAAAGGCCCAGAATAAGAAAGAAATGGAAACAATGAACACCCAACATAGGAAAGAAATGGAATCCATTAAGCAGGTTCAAACAGATATCCAGGAGATTAAAAACTCTATTGAAAGCTATGTAACAGAATAAAAGATTGCGAGGATAGGATCTCAGATATAGAAGATAGGATAGGAGAAAGTGACCATGCAAAGAGAGGTCTCTTAAAAACAGGGAGCATGAGAAATTGATCCAACAACTCCTAGATGATACAAAGAAGAATAACATAAGACTGATAGGAATCCATGAAGTATCAGGAGAAAACGCAAATGACTTAAAAAAGCTGATCAAAGAATTAATGACTGAAAATTTCCCAAACAGAGGGGAAGAATTAGACATACAGAT